TGGGAGCGCGGAGCCGCAGCGCGGAGGACGGAGGCCCGCGAGGCTTCCTGGAGGCGGCGCGGCGCACAGCGCCCCCTGCAGGCCGAGCCCGGAACGGCAGCGCCGTCCTCCCGCTCCGCCCAGACGAGCGTGGAGAGCGGACGGGCCCACGGACACTGCGGGCAGACACGCAGGCCACAGCGCGTGGACACGGCGCGCGCAAGCCAACACGTAGGCACGCGATCGGACACGCGGCATGTCGGAGCGGCCAGCCGCATCTCTCGCTCTGGAGGCCGCCAGTTCCCAAGGAGGACGCTCCGCGATGGCCACGCCGGGCTGGCTGCTGAGAACTCAAGTCCTCTGCAGGGCTGGGCCTGGGGATTGTTTTGACAGCTGTACTTGTGTCTTCTGGGTTTGCGGTGGAGCCAGCTCTTGCTGGTAATCATGATAGGCAACCACTTTGCCCTACTACAATGGTCAACTTACTTCTGTTTCAACCACGCGCACACACCTTAATGGACTGCGCAGCCCGCGTGCGGTCTTTCTCCGAGCTTCTCTGGGGATGCCTGAGCAGTGACAGCTCTGCATGCACTGCAACACACGCTCCAATCACTTTTCTCAAGCGTTGAGGCGGTTTCCCTATATTTGCCAACTTTTTAAATTGGTGTTTGTGTTTCACAATAAAACAGTAATTTTAAAAGATAAATAGAGGAAAAGACAAGAAAACTGCTTGGGGGCACACGGGAGCAGCGGAGGGAGGGCTCCCCGCGTGGCTATGGAGATGCGCTCCGGGGCAGGGCCTCACTTAGTTCCTAGGCCTGAGCCCGCCTGCGTGGTGCCTAAAACCCTCCTGGCTTTCTCTTCTTCAATAGCCTGGGGTGGGTGTGTATGTAGCAAGGAAACAGACCTGGATCCTTCTCCTATGCGTATAAAAGAGGTATGTCCCCACCCTGGGCCAGGATGCATTCTGGGCTCAGGTGAGTGGTCTGTGTGTCTCCATCATCTTTTCCAAGAAAAAATGTGACCAAGTTGGTTTCTCACCATAGGAATGCCTTCTTTGGAACAGAGAAAGCCAAGATTCCTCAAGGAGGTTGGAGCCAGAATAGCAGTGCTGGATTAAGCCTTTGCACTTGGCAAAAGTCATTTTGATAGTTTTGCATAAAAAGAACTGGGAAAGGCTGCTTTCATCCTCAGGAACCAGCGGCTGCGTGAACTCAGAGCGACCCTTGGAGCAGCAGATGAAAACCTTGCCTGATCCTGCATCATCCTCATAGTCCCCAAAGACAAGAGTCCACTGTGACAGCATCTCTGATGGCCGACCCTCAGAATACATACAGATATCAACTCTTGGCTTTTCATGGCCCTCCACTTCTAAATTTCTGGTTCCCTCTGCCTCTCCTAGCTCAATCTCTTCAATGTCTCAAGAGCATGAAGGATTACACTTCTATAGTTTTCCATACATTCTTTCTTCTCTGTTTGCCCATCCAGAGCTTCCCTATCTGCCCTGGACCAGGTGATGCCCTGATTCTTCCATGAAGTGTTTCCACACCTGTCAACCTGCAGTAAAATCTGACTCATCTAAACAAAAACAGCTTTTAGGTTTTGGGTCATTTATTTGGCAAACAGAGAAAAGTACAATACCAGGTGATAGTGTTCTAACCCTCTGAACAGATTGGAAACGTCTTGAGAGCCGGAAGGGGCTTTGGTGGTGTAGTGGATAGTCTGTGGGATGTCCTGCTCACCAAAAGCCTGCACCTCTCTGTGGTTGGAATCCACCAGTGTCTCCGAGGTAGAGAGGTGGGCAGTTGTTCCTCTGTGTGATGCACAGCCTGAGAAACCCGATGGAGGGTCAACTAGGCATTGGTTCTGACTCCATGGCAATGAGTCGTTTTCTTACTTTGTTTCTCTTTTTGGAGAAGGAACTATAACTTTGTTTCTGTTACTTTTATAATCCGTAATATAGAGTTGTTGTTGTTGATCAAGTCAACTACAACTCACAATGATCCTATGAACAACAGATCTGAATCCTTCCCAATCCTGCGCCATCCCTATAATTTCTGATATACTTGATCCCATTGATAGTCACTGTGTCAATCCATCTTGAAGTTCTTCCTCTCTTTTGCCGACCCTCCACTTTTCCAAGCATATTCTCTTATTTTTTTTCTTTTTTTTTTGAGACAAAAGCTTGCCATCTTTTATTCTATGGCTGTCTGGCTGCACTTCTTTTTTTAATTTTTTTTTTTGGCTGCACTTTTAAAAAATATTTATTATTAATTTCAATGAAAATTTACAGAGACTTTGGGTTTCCATTCATTCATTGTTATACTTTTCCCCCCTCCCAACCCTCGCCCCCCCCCCAGTACACTACCCTCTTGGAAAAGTAAAAGAAAAATTCTTTCATTGTTTTACAAACACTCCCCTAGGCCCACTCCACTCTACAGCCTTCGCTCTGGACTCCTGTCATGACAAAAATACCTGATCACATATCTCTCTTAAACAGTTTTCTCCCTTATCTGTTTCAATGCAGTATACATTATTGAACGCATCTTTCTCAGTCTCCCCGCAACCCCAAGGTCAGTTCTGTTTTATAACAGTGGCACCATGCAGTATTTGTCCTTTTGTGACTGAGATAATTCACTCACCATAATGTCCTCCAGGGTCACCCATTTTGAATAATATTGCATGAGTTCCTTGTTTTTCAGTGCAGCATAGAATTTCATTGTGTGAATATACCACAGCTTCTCTATCCATTCGTTTGTTGATGGGCACCTGGGTTGTTTCCAACTCCTTGCTATTGTGAACAAAGCCTCAATAAACATGGGTGTGCATATATCTGCTTGGATGTCAGTTATGGTCTCTTTGGGGTTTATCCCCAGTAGTGGAATTGCTGGGTCAAATGGTATCTCTATTTGCAACTTTTTGAGAAAGTGCCATATCGCCTTCTACAGTGTTTGCACCATTTTACACTTCCACCAACAGTGAATAAGGATTCCAGTTTCTCCACAACCTCGCCAGCTTTTGTTCTGCTAAATTTTGCTATTCTAACTGGGGTGAGATGATATCTCATAGTTGTTTTGATTTGCATCTCTCTTAGAGCTCGGGATTTTGAACATTTCTTCATGTGCTTATTAGCCATCTGAATGTCTTCTTTGGTGAAGTGTCTATTCATATCCTGTGCCCATTTTTCTATTGGATATTTACCTTTATCTTGTTGTGGTGCTGAAGTATTTTATAAATTGTGGATATAAGTCCCTTATCTGATACGTCATTACCAAATATTTTTTTTCCCAGTCTGTGGCTTCCCTTTTTACCCTGTTGGAGAAGTTTTTGGATGTGCATAGGGATTTGAATCTTAGAAGATCCCATTCCTCTATTTTATCTTCTCCTCGTTGTAGGATGATATCCTCTTCTAAGGACCACCGTCTCCTAACAACATGTCCAGAATATGTGAGACAAAACTTTACCATCCTTGCTTTCAAGGAGAGATAAGAATTGCTTGACATTGAATCATTTCAGGAAGGAGCATATCTATTCAAGAATCAATGGGAATGAAGGAAGAAGTTCAAAATGTGCTGTAGACATTGGCAAAAACTAAGGCCCCAGAAATTGATGGAATACCAAATGAAGTATTTCAACAAATAGATGCAGCCCTGC